TTAATTTTCTAATTCCAGCCTTTTCATGATTTTGTTAATCCTATCACATATGACTTTGTTAGTCTATCATAAAAAAAGATTACAAATAAAGGAAATAGTTAATCCTCTTGTTCATGTTTATAATCAAATATTTTTTAAATGTATGTATGGAGTATTAATCCAATCTCCATATCTAAAGAATCAAACAAACATAGACTAAACGAAGTACAGCAACAGTAGTAGTATAGTCTCATCTCTCCATATGAAGGTTGACGAATCTGCTAATACTGTTCTTGATTTACTTTACCTCCTTGGTCGGCATCTTCGTTGAACTTCATGTTTATTTATTTATTATTTTAAAATTCTAGAATTATTTACAATTATTTAAATAAGTATATTTTTAAAAAAATTTATCAAAAGATATATAAAAAAATAGAAAAATAATATGACCTAAGGATATATAAATAAGTACACTTAGAAAATACTAAACAAATTCTCTGGGTGTGTCCAGTTTGTGTTTTAAAACAAATTTTCAAAAAATAAAAATAAAAATAAGAAGAGAGTTTAGAATTTTTTTTAATTTGTTTAGTTATATATTTTGAAAATAGTTTTGAAGTTTGAAAGTTTAGGATGATTTCATATTTTGTTGTAGTTGAGTAGATGTATGTGTGTTGGCTACATATTTTGTACAAGTCAATTACAGTTCGACACGTGGCAAGATGAGGGCAATACGAGAAGTCAGTTCAAATCTTTAATCATAATCACACGCGTGGCAGTTAGTATTGGTTTTTGTAGATCTGCATAGCACTAGATCAACAAAGAGATGCAAGATGACGTGGCTTCAACGGTTACTTATATTTAAATTCAAAATCAAGAGGGAAGCCTAACTATAGAGATGACATACTGGAACTAACTATAAGGCAACATGATCAACGACCATGGAGGGATGGTTCGATGGTTAGAAATGCAGTTCGACGATTGTCATTGAGAAGTATAAATAGCAGAGAAAGCCCCAGAAAGTGCCCTTAGACTCTGATCCAAAAAATCAGTTTTATCTACTTTATTTTCCTTCCAGTTTTACATTTCTTGTTCTTTACTTCAAATTTCTGCACTACATTTCGTTCATAGGAGTAGTTTTCGAATAGTTTGTTGTTGTAAACCTCTACGAGGCTAAATTGGATCATTGTAAGTTTTTCATTTTGTTTAATGAAAAGCCACCAGTAAAAGTCCTTTTCATTGAGGTTGAAAGAACTTAAAACACAATCGTCTGATAATTGGTTGGCAATTAATTTTCTGTAAGGACTGATTGACCCTTGCTGGCACGCTCAAAATTACAATAATAACCTTCGAAAGCCAAAAAACCAACATATATTTGGCACTGTAGACGCGCTCTCGGGGGCTCCTGAGCTCCGCGCTGCGAATGGGCGCAGAATTCTTTTGCTCTTTGAGCTACTACAGTTCGGACTCAATGTCACAGTTCTGAATCTAATCTCACAATGTGCGATGTGAGACCGATAAATCACCAAAGAGTCCAAATCCGACAAATCGTTTTGGAAAGCTGATTTTTATAAAGAAGTGTCAAACATGGACTGCTTTGCCAGATACAGAGTCG